TTGGTTCTGATCCTTCTTCCTTCACTGTTTGATTGAGGGCCCAGTAAGCTGGTCTGTGGCGTAAATGATGCATGAGGTCAGACTTTCATTTGCGGGAAGAAGGGCCCCAGACAGCGGGGTTATACCAACAATCTGCTAACAGTCCTGACGTCATCTCTTTTGGCCTGYTTTACCCCTTCCCTCCCCAGGGGGAAAAAATATGAAGATATTTTCTGGTGGTAAAGCAGGGTGGAGGAAGAGATGTAGATGCGGTCATTTGTGCTACCAGGCTAGTAACAGAAGTGACAGGCCGTCAGCCCCTGGAGGATGGTTGTCATGGCAACCCCTGGATCTAGAAGCAGGCCCCTTTTTGGGCCATTGTCTCGGGTACAAAGTCCTTGTTCAGCTTTCAAAATGCTGTTAAAAAAAACACACCCTGCAGGAGAGATCCAGAGACAGAGAGACAGGCTCACATACACAGTTGTCCCTTGGGATCTAGGGGGGTTGGTTCTGGGTTCCCCCATAGATACCAAAGTCTATGGATGGCCAAGTCCCTCATATAAAATGATGTGGTATTTGCATATAGCTTGTCCATAATTTAAATCAACTCTAGATTACTTATGCCTAATACAATGCAAATGCTCTGTACATTGTTGTTACACTGTTTTGTTTAAATGTGACAAGAACAAAAGTCTGTACACATTCAGCACAGACACAATTTTTCCCAGCATTTTTGATCTGTGGTTGGTTGAATCCACAGTGTGGAACCTGTGCATATGGGGGGCTGACCATTAAAAAATAAATAAAATAAAATCCCATGAAGGCCAGTTCCTTCCCATCACTTTGAAATGGTCCAGTCAGCCCTGTTTGTCTGTTTCTCTTCCACTTGCCCAAGGCAGGACCAGGACATGCCTGGTTGCCAGCAGGAAGCAGCCTGCCAGGGACCAGGCAGCCAGCCTGGGGTCCTCTGTGCAGTTTGACCATTCTTCAAACACAGCTCCTGGGCTGTACTAATTAGCACAAGGTAACTCCCTGCAGAAGGGAAGGCAGGAATGCACTGAGGGTGCGGAGGGTCCAGGGGTAGGGGGTGGGGCGCATTTTGTGGCTTCCTGGCTGTAGTCAAACCCGCTGCTGACCTGAGCCAGTACCCCCACCCTTTCCACAGGAATCCAGGACCAGCACATCCAGACCCGAAAGAAACCGARGCTGCCCCTGAGTGCCCTGTAATATCGACTGGAGCCTCCAGGAGGAAAATGAAGGCTTCCTGACCTTGCACAAAGGGAAGATAATAAAAGGCACCGGCTGATCCCTAGACTGGTGGTTTTCTCTGCACCTGGCTTCAGGCCAGAGGTATTCTGAGGAGGCCTCATCATGGAGGCTCAGCCTCTMGGGGTTCCCTCTCGATTGCAGCCTGCAGCGGAAACCTCAAGGCACAACCACAGGAAGGGGCAAGCAGACACTCTCAAGTGAGGAAGTACAGAGAGGTTAYGCGACTTGTCCCAAGACACACAGCCAGTTCCTGACAGAGCTCAGACTAGAATCCAGGACTCCTGAAGGCTGAGCAGAGAGTGAGGAACACCGCAATTGTTCAAGGCAGAGAAAATGCTGGAATGCACAGGAGGCCAAAGTAGACACTGAAAACCAGATTCTAAGACCTGCAGAACTCTACTGAGGTTATCTTTGGGGCACTAATAAAGTACCAACCATGCCAGGCACCTTACYGGACATGTCATATAATTCTCTGTGACAAAGCCAGTTATCCCCATTTGGCAGATGGAGAAATTGAAACTGGAGGAATATAAGTAACTGGTCAGAGACCACCAGATACTGAGGGAAGTGCCAACTCTCCCCAGCCCTTCTGCCCCCACAGTCGGGGCCTTGACCAGTTATAAGGCTGACTTTCCTCAAAAGCAGGGACAAGGTCCTGAGTATCCCTCATTTATTTTAGGTCACCATCTGCTCAGACTGTAAGACACCTTCTAGACAAAGCTCAAGATGAAAAGTCATGAAACGCTCTGAGAGAAATGGACTCATGCGTAGGTTGGCTGGGATTACCGTGAAGATGTTGGATTAGTTTGGGGGTTATATGTGTGCTTTTACTGTGAGCTAAACACCAATATGCTCTGTTAGGGTGTGGCTATGAGGTGTCGCCCAAAGGCTCCTGCTAATGCAGGAATATTCCGAGATGAAATGAGTGGACTGGGAGAGCTAATCAGTCCCTCCTAGTTTGAATGGCTGGGTGGGTGGTTCCCATGGGCAGGGGAGTCATGGCTGGAGGAGGTGGGTCACTGGGGGCATGCCCTAGAAGGGATGTTTTTCCCACAGCCCCTACCCCTGTCTCTCTGTCTCTCCGTCTCTCTGTGTGTCTGTCTCCCTGCTTCCTGACCCCACCATGAGCTAATCAGCTTTCCTCCACTAGGCCCTTCCCCTATGATACCCTGCCTCATCTTGGGTCATCTATGGACTGAGACCTCTGAAATGATGAGACCCAACTCAACTTTCCTCCTCTTGTCAGGTATTTTGATCACAGTAACAACAACAACAACAACAAAAAGCTAACTAGAACACTCCCTTTGTGTCTTTTCCTGACATTTTACATACATCCAGAACTCTCCTAGTAGCCCAGGCCAATGGGATGGGGTCAGTTTTTACTAAATGTTACAACCAAAAGGTTTATTCAAGTTGGTCAGGCATTGACATTGCTGGCTGGCCGAGGCTCATCTGAATGCTGGTCGGGGCTGGATTCCAGAGGGATCAAGGAGTTGGGGGATCAAGAAGAAATCTGAGATGTCCACCAGTGAGCAGGGCTTGTTCATTCACTCCCCAAATCCTAACTCTCCCCAACCGAATAAGGCCTGGGCTTGCTGGCCAGCAGGGAAAAGAAAGAACCCAGGCAATTGAGAGCAGGGGGGAAGTTCTATTTCCCAGGATCCTCTGTGCAGTTCCCAGGCCAAACTTCACTTTTTCTCTATAACACAGAGCAATTGTTCTGCTTTTCACATCATCATGTGATTGTATTTGAATAAAATGAGGGACACAGGGCAGTTTCAGGGCACATTTGCAATGCAGTCTACACACGAAGCTGTCCACAGCAGCCCTGCTACACTGCTGGGTATGGAGGCACCTGACAAAGCTCCCTCCGTTGCCCCATTCTCTGTTSTGCCACACTCCATTAGAGAACTTGAGCCAATCCACCTGCTGGAGCTAGGTGCTGTGCTGCACGTGGGAGGGATGGACCGACAGCTAAGGCAAGGTCCCTGCTGCCCAGGGACTTCCACTCTAAAAAGAGAGACACAGATGGGTAAACATAGCTKCAGTGAGGTATGAGGCCTGTTATGTTAAAAGTGTGTAGAGGAAATGGGAAGGGCACGGAAGAGAGAGAAAGTAATCACGGGACAGGCTCCAGGAAGAGAAGCTGATGTACAAACAAAGTCTTGAAGGATGAATAGGAGCAGTAAAAATGCAAGAGAGGACAAAGGGGATCACCTGTGTAGAGGAGTGCAAGATAGAGGGACACCAGGCCCTCCAGTCACACAGGTAGGTGGCTATTTACCTGAGTAACTAGCATGATCAGGAGCCCAGGAAGAGTCAACAGCTCGGCCATCTGCCCAGCTCCTCTCTTCCTCTCCGGCCTGCATCTCTCTGGGTCTCTGACCCCCTTTGCTCAGGCCCTSTCCTTCTAATTCTGACCTCCAGGATCCTGATCCCAACCACATGTTTAGGATATACCTCCATGACCTTGACCTTTTGGACTCTTTTGGACATAATCAACTCTATGACCTGCAACAACCTGAGACATTCCTCTTCCCCCTTCMACACTGTCCTGGGATACCCTAAAGGCCAGGCCAGCCCAACCTCCCCAACACAGACCAGATGTATCTGCAAGCTATTTGATGGAGTTAGAATAAAGATATAGGAGGAGACACCATCTGGAAGCAGGTAGGTGACCTGGGGAGCCATCAAGAGGAATGATGTAGGGGTCTGGCAAATTTCTGAGCTGCCTTCTCAGGGGTTACTCTGATGTTGACAAGGCAGAGAGAGAGAGAGAGAGGGAGAGACTAGAGCAAGAATTGCAAGAGCCTGAGCAAGAATTGAGAAGAAGAGAAGGTGACTCCCCGGCCACTCATGGCTTGAACAACTGTGGACCACCCTGGGGAGCAAGGACCTTCGTCCCCCTTTACTCTTCCCCTGTGGCTCTAAAGTCCTCCATCGTGGTCCTGATTCACATAATTGGAGGCTGCCTCCTACCCATCCTCATCCTCATTTTCCTTCTTCTCTTCCTCTTCTTCGTCTCCTTCTCTCTCCCTCTCTGAAGCAATAGACTTACTGCCTCTAGTTCAAACCTGCCCAATTAGAAAAAAATGGGGAGGGGAAGGAAGTCAGGAAAGGAAGCCTGATGGAGAGGATGTGGCCACCCCACACAGAGGCTCCCCAAGAAAGGAGGCCCAACCAAGCTCGGGGCTTTCGCAAGTCTGAAAAGTCCAGGGTACTCAACAAATATTAAACACACACACACACACACACACACACACACACACACACACACCTCACTCTGTCATGCTATCATGAATTCTGCCACCTTAGAACTTGGAGGAGGAACTCAGCCTCTCCACCATCCTGCCAAGTGGGTGGTGGGGAAATCAAGACCCAACCAAGAGCATCCAGGAGTCCGTGCTGTGCTCCGGCTTCCCTTGTGACCAACCATCACCTTTACCGTGTCCCAGAACTACTTCAGTGAGTCTGGGCAGGTTACAACAACCTGTTTACAAACATCTAGGATTCACAGGCACTCTTAGGACAAGGGACTCGGGGACAGTTCCAAATGGGCAGTGAAGGCTTACTAAGAGAAACTGTTCCTCCGGGTCTATTTATGCCCATATAAACACTTGCCAAGGAAACAAGGCATGTGGGCATGCGCTGGCCCTGCAGGMCCTCGGGTGGCTGCAAAAGGCAACTGGAAAGTCACATGTCATAACAGTGGAAAGTACATATGCAGCTATTCTTAGCCCTGGAATGTATACACGGTCTCCCTGCCCAGCGGCCCTTGCACAAAGCTCTAGAAAACTGTGAAAGTGCCTTCAGCATAAACAATCCAGAACTCTCCCAGGACAAATCACTTGCCAACTGAAGGAAAGGCCTGGGGTTTACGGTTTCACTCGGAGCAAGAGGTGGAAACTTTCTGGGGGGCAAGACCGACCAGGAATCAGTGGGTGTCACTGCAGCAAGACAAGGTAAATATCCCTACTGCTTACTTCTCTGCAGGTGGACTGATGGGTCACCCAATAGACCAGGGAGTTGCTTTTTCTCTACTTTCTACTGATTCCATCCTTAAAGTAAAACCCCAAGACTCTGTACAGTCGTGTGTTCTAAGAGAGCTAAAGATTTAAATCTCACAAGGGCCCATTTTCATCCCCATCTCTGTCTAGTTACCGTAATTCCACACCCCCAGAATGTCATCCCTGGAAAAAGACTAACACCCAGACAGAGATGTTTAGATGAGTTTACTAAATGACAAATACACTGAGAATCTGGGGAAAGGCTCACACTTCTGCTGGTCAAATGCATGGATTGTTAACTGTACTCCAGGCTCGTGTTTCAGCCCCGGCAATCTAGTGACTTGCAATAACATTTTATCTTTGCCCCTCAGGTTAGCTAAAGATGCTGTTTGCCTATTACCCTTGAGAATAATCTTGACCCAAAAGAGATGTGTCAGCTTTGGGGTCTGGGGTGAGGGTGGCCTCCCTTTCTGGTCTTCACCGGGTGGCAATCTTGGCCACACCCACAAACCCCTTGGTGGGGGACACAGGTGCACACCAGCGAGAGCCTGCGGTACAGGCTGCTGAGGCCGACTTGACCCTTGTCGCCCTCTCTGTAGGATGGACGACGAGTCGCCCGACGAGCTGCTCTTCAAAGACCACAACTTCTCCTCGGACTTACTGAGGCAGCTCAACGGCTTAAGACAACACAGGATCCTGACGGATGTGAGCATCTGTGCCGGTGCCTGGGAGGTCCCCTGCCACCGCAACGTGCTGGCCTCCAGCAGCCCCTACTTTAGGGCCATGTTCTGCAGCAACTTCCGGGAGAGCAGTGAGGCCAAAGTCCAGCTGAAGGGCATCGACTCCCCGGTGCTGGACTGGATCGTGGCCTACGTGTACACCGGGGAGGTGCGCATCGCGGCCGACAACGTCCTGGCCCTGATGGAGGCGGCCTCTCTGCTGCAGTACCCCAGGCTGTTCGAGGCCTGCTCCTCGTACCTGCAGAGCCAGCTGGCCCCCAGCAACTGCCTGGGCATGATCAGACTCTCGGAAATCTTGAGTTGCCAGACCCTCAAGGAGAAAGCCAGGGAGGTGGCCCTGGCGTGTTTCCCGGAGGTGGCCACCTCCGCTGACCTGAAGGAGCTGTGCGCCTTGGAGTTGAGAGACTACCTGGGAGATGATGGGCTCTGCGGGGAGGAGGAGAAGGTGTTCGAGGCCCTCATGGCTTGGGTCAAGCATGACCTCCAGGCCCGGAAGCGATACATGCAGGAACTGTTCCAGCAGGTGAGGCTGCAGTACGTCCACCCRGCCTTCTTCCACCACTTCATCGCCAACGATGCCCTCCTCCAGTCTTCGCCGGCCTGCCAGACCATCCTGGAGAGGGCCAGGAGGCAGATGTTTTCTCTGTATGGCTCCAGTGCCCCAGACTGCAAACCCCTGTGGCATGTCCCTCCAAGGAGCTCTTACCAAGACTTCCTCATCCTCCTGGGTGGAAGGAAGGACAACCAGCAGACCACCAGGGAGGTCCTGCTCTACAGCTCACAGACCGGCCAATGGCAGAGCCTTGCCAAGCTCCCCACCCGGCTATACAAGGCCTCGGCTGTCACCTTGCACCGCAGCATCTACCTGCTCGGGGGCATGACTGTCAGCGGGGGGAAGAGTCTGGTCAGTCACAATGTCTATGTCTTCTCCCTGAAACTCAACCAGTGGAGGCTCGGGGAGCCCATGCTGGTGGCCCGCTACTCCCACAGAAGCATTGCCCACAAGAACTTCATCTTCTCCATCGGGGGCCTCGGAGAAGGGCAGGAGCTCCTGAGCTCCATGGAGAGGTACGACAGCATCTGCAATGTCTGGGAGAGTATGGCCACCATGCCCGTGGGAGTTCTCCACCCTGCCGTTGCTGCGAAGGACCAAAGGCTCTACCTCTTTGGGGGAGAGGACATCATGCAGAACCCTGTACGCCTTATCCAGGTAAATGGCTGGTTCTTCCCATCATGTAAGTGCATGAGTGTGTTTGCATATACACATGTGCATGCCCGGCCTATCTGCATGCACACAAAAGCATACATATGTGCACACATGCCCATGTGAACATACATACATATACAGGTATGCACATGCATACCAAAAGATGTACTATACATGCATATAAACGTGTGTGCAATCCTGACACATACATATGTATGTGTGCACAAGCATACATGGATACATGCATGCCTGTATATACACACACACACCACACACACACACACACACACACACACACTTTTGTGGGGAAAGAAGAGGAAGAGAGAGAACAAGACAGAGAGGTAGAAAGGAAAGAAGGACAATTTTCAGCAAGAAGTTTTTCAATTTTTGAATTTTTTTCAATGTAAGACTAATAACAAATACAATCCTTATCTACAAAAATTGTGTCTTCATTTGAGAAAAAAAGCATATCTAGAAATTCAAGCTATAAATATTGAATATGTCAGATAGTGAAGCCCTATAGGACTTTAGCAGATGCTTCTACCTCATATCAGTAAGGCCTTAAAAGAAGATGCCCAAGACTTGGTCCACATCTACCCCAGACCAACTAAATCAAAATCTCACATTGTCGGATACTGACAGTGTGGTTTATAAGCCTCCAGGAGGTTCTCAGGTGCATCTAGTTTGGAGAACCCCTGCCTTAAATGAAAGGAGACATTGATTTCACTAATAAGCTCTCTGAGAAGCAGGATTACCAGAGGCTAGAATATTAAGGGTTTTCCAACTTTGTGCAAGTTTCTAGTAATCTCTGCATTCATCTACTATATGAAAAACTTGAATAGCAAGTTTATCTTTAGGTTCAAAGCCCCCATGAGATGCAGTTCATTCATTTTAAGTGGTGTATTGAGCCCTAGCCACTGTGAAGGCCTGGGGACATCAGAGGGAACAGTGAACTCCACCTAATCCTCAAGGACCTTGCAAGACAATTGCAATTCAGAAGCTGAATACAGGAGGACTTTAACATAGGAGTGTCCTAAAACCTTCTGGAGGGAATCAGAGAAGGCTTCAGGGGAGCTTAGGAGGGAATCCTGTGAGGCCCATGTAAGCTGACCTGAGCAAAGAAGCAGAAGAGAGACGGCGGGTGATGGAGAATCAGCAGGGAGAAGGGCAGGGTTGGTGCTACGAAAGCACATAACAGAAGGGTCTGGCATAAGTGGGGTGGGGCCCTCTGCCAGCTGAAGAAGAAGTCAGAGCAATACTGAGTAGTACTGAGAGGCAGGAGTGACCCCGGGACGGAACACTCGTACAAAGGCCCTGCAGCACAAAGGGTGCACAGCCCACTGCCCCGAGGAACCAAAAGCCTGACAATGGTGACRGTGTCCTTGCCAAGCAGAGCAAGGAGGAGGAAGAGACAGCACCAAGGGACATCTATGAGTCCCCACACCATCCCCATCAGCCCTTTCCCAAGACACCCAGCAACCCCCTCTACCCAGACTGCTGCTCCTGAGCCCCTCCTATCAAAATTCTGGAACATTCTTAAGGGATGGGCATTTGTGGAGATGCRGCTGGTCTGGCAGAGTTTTCTAGGTCTTGTCTAGAAATTGGGATTGCAGCCTCAGTCCAAGGACAGGGACATCATGAAAGAGATCCATGCCCGTGAGTGCGGTCATCAGATTTTCATCTGCAGAAGTTCCTCTGGGTGCCCCGTAGAGAAGGGCTGGGAGTGGGCAGGGGAGTCCAGTCAGGAGATTCTTCATCAAGTCCCAGCAAGAGAGAAGGATGGAGATTTTTTTCCACTTTTGCCTTTACTCTCTAGCCCATGTTCATCTTCACCATCAGATTCTTAGTCTTCCCAGAATGACTGTCCCCAGTTCCTCTCATTTACTTGAGCCAGGAGAGACATATTAGGCTCCATTCCAAACTCTGATCACACAAAGTAGATCTGACCAAGTGCTTCTCTGTAAAGCGAACACCCCTCCCTCCTCTCTATTTTTCAAAATAGAATCAACAAATATGCCGATGATTTCACGTTGCAAAATTGTCATCGACCTCCTAAGAATAAAACGCACTGCTCAAAAAAGCTTTCAGCTAGTCTATCGAGAAATGCATAGTACGATCAAACAAGATCCCTGCAGAGCCAAAAATTCTAAACGCGTGAGTGATCCTGTTGTAGTATAGCCACGGATGAGGGAAAGGGGTCAAAGTATTCATTTGGATGCTTTTCTTATCTATTCAGCGCTAACTTTGAAATGGAAACTTTGCTCATTTGAATATAATTTAAAACGAGTGCTCCAAGGTGCTGGGTAGAGCAGGTTGGATTTCCAGGCAYGGCCTTGGCGTTTTTCTTTATGGGATGGTTCCTCTGTGTCCTGCCCTGTTTCAAGAGCTACCCTGCAGTGGGTATAGATTAGAACTACACCACGCAGACTGTGCGCGTGGGTCCCCCCTCCTACCTGGCTTCCTTCCTGCCTCKGTTTCTGGATGGCATTGGGCACATCCTTGACCATGACAGTCTCACTTGCTTCCCTGGCCAAAGACCCTCCTTTGTTACCCCTGCCGAAGTATTTCTGGGGCATTAAGAGGATTGTGAGCAAATGTTGAATTTATTTTTAAAACCATACCCAAAGCTGAGAGCGGGAACAGAAGGCCAGAAGGCCATTACTTACTTGAGAAAATGCAACCACRTCTGCTCTTCCCTGAGGACCCYGCTTTCCAAGAATGTGTCACCTGTGTATTTTCAGATGCAAACAAGAGGCTTCACACAGCCCTGCGCTGGCCCRTCTCTAGCACCCAGCCCCTCCRGGCTTCACCAACTTGAAGARACATRTTAGGCTTGAAGAGCTCCATGGAGACGCCAAACCGAACAGCCTCTACAGGAAAGGCCACACTTTCACGGCCCCACACAGCCATGAGCGTGGTGCTTAAGAGTAGGCTCCTTGGGCTCAACCAGACCCTGCTCTTCCACTCAAGCTGYTTGACTTTGGGCAGGTCATTGAACCTCTCTGAGCTTCAACTACCTAATCTGAAAAACAGGGGAAATAATAGCATCTACCACATAGGATGATTGTGAAGGTCAATTTTTTATCAAAAAAAAAAATCTAGGAACTAGATTTTGTATGGAAAGAATTTCCACCAAAGAATACTGTAAATGAATGTTTTTGTCCCTTCTTTTCAGTGGAGTCCMTCCTATATCTCTTGTGCTAAATTTTTCCTGTAATGAACTAAACCCATATTTGATAGTTGAATTTTAAACTGAGGACATTACCAGAACAAGCTCTAGGGACTATTTCAGAGCATGGCAAGTGAGCCTGCCCTTTCCTCCCTGGTCTTTCTTCTCTTTCTCATGCTTCTTTTTTTTTCTGAGATTCTTAATTCCTTTCAGGCATAAACTGTTCAGAAGCCTTCCTCATTTAGTCTCAAATTTATTCTTGGCTCTCTGACCCTCTCCAATCCACCAGAACATTTAGAAATTTAAACATGAGCTAGAAATAAAAATGATTGGAAAAGTCACTGGTTTTCTAAATACCCAAGTTGCTCCATTTCTCAATAAAAGAAAAAAAAAAAAAAAGGTTCCAAGCAAGGTCAGCAAAATACATACCACATGCTGAATTCCCAGTTCATTCTATAGAAGGACAGCCACTGATCTTATGCAGTCACAGAAAGACCAACTTCTCATCCTAATCTTCTATCATTTAACAATATTTCATTTATTGATAGTAATTTAGCTACGCTTTAAAAACTGTAAAGAAATAGAAAAACTCGTGCCTGGTTCACCTTGCTAACCACTACTTCTTTTTAAAAAAAAAAAAAAAATTCAATGCAGTGCTGTGATTTTGCTCCTCCCTCAGGTTTATCACATTTCCAGAAACACGTGGTTCAAGATGGAGACGAGGATGATCAAGAACGTGTGCGCCCCTGCGGTGGTGCTTGGGCAGCGGATTGTCATTGTGGGAGGTGAGTCTGAACGSAGACTCACCGCGCTGGACAGAAACTTGGCGCCTCTCATGGAAAAATGGGTCGCTAGTAGATGCTGTTCTGCAGGATGGTATTTTTAAAAGCACATCCATCCACGCGGGAGAGCGTGGACAGCCTGCCCAAGCTCTTTCCTCATGCAGCCGTTTCTCCCTGTCTTCATTTGTAAACAAGGGACAAAATAATACTGATTTTGACAAGGTGTTGCCAGAGCACGTGAAGCTCAGAGCACTAACCAGACACTCAGTCGATAAGCAGTGATTGCCCTTGTGAACAGTATTGGCTCCAAATGTATGGCTTCTCTGTGCTTGCAGAACGTGACCTGGTTAACAGAGCTGGTTTGGGGGTCAGAGAGGTCCTGGCTCTACCACTAACCATACTTTGGCAAGCTTTTCATTTTTTTCTGTGCCTCGGTTTCCCCATCAGTAAAATGGGGATCCTTAAAGTGCCCACCATAGAGGACTGTTGTGGGGACCTACGTCTGAGTTCCCACRGAAAAGCTTCTTTGGGTTGTTAACTCTTGGTTGGGCACATAAGAAACAAAATGCCATCGAGGCTGATGTGGGGGTACTGCTCCCCATCTATGGATCACTTACAATGGGAGGCAGGGCCAGGGTCAGAGACAACTGGGTGCCAGCCCCAGCTCAGTCTCATGCTGGACCACAGAAGGGTCCCTCAACATCCCACGCGTTAGTTCAGGGTCCCAGCCTCGCTGTGAGCAGGGACAGACACATTGCAGAGCCGCTGACTTCCAGGCCAGACGGGTGACACTGAGCTTGCTTACGTCATTTGATTTTTTAGGTTACACGAGGAGGATTCTTGCTTACGACCCTCAGACCAACAAATTTGCCAAATGTGCAGACATGAAAGACCGGAAAATGCACCACGGGGCCACGGTGATGGGGAACAAGCTCTATGTGACAGGCGGGCGGCGGCTGACCACAGACTGCAACATTGAGGACTCAGCCTCTTTTGACTGCTATGACCCTGAGTCAGACACCTGGACATCCCAGGGGCAGCTGCCTCACAAACTCTTCGACCATGCCTGCCTCACCCTCCAGTGCATACCCCACATGACCACCCATTCGTGAAGTCCACAGGGAACCTTAGTTGAGACGCTTTCTGTTGCAAAGGACAGAAACCCAGCTCCAAAGAGCCTAACCCTACAGGGATGCAGGGACGGAACCCTCTCAGGACTGAAGGCACCAAGGCCTGGGGGCCTGGAGCCAGGCCTATGGCCAGAAGTCYCTTCTCCCCCAGCCTTTCTCACTGTCTCTACCTTGTCTCTACTAGGTCTCCTTCCTCGAGTTTCTGCATCCACACAGCATGAGGATTACCAGTGACGATTGATAAACTCTAACTCACCATCTCTAGCTTTGCATCTTCATTGTACCATGATCCACATATTAATCTTAAAAAAAGGTGCTGGCAGGCCCTTTTTGAATCCCATGCCTGCCTCTTGAGACAATCACTATTGCCAGAATGGTGCTACTACATCCGCCTAGTCTTGAATCAGGTCCCTAGGAACAGAGTGGGGTTAACTCCTGTGATTGGCAGCCCATCCAAAACACATGCAATGGGAAGGAAGGAGTTTTCCAAAGGAAGAAATTCTGGATAGACAAAAAGCACATCTGGCCCAGGACACCTTTGCAATCTGGAACAAGAGGGCTGAGAGACCCAAGAGGACCCCTGGAAGCATTTGGTCCAGGTGGCAGCATGAGAAATTGGCCACGACTGTGTTTGTCTGAATTCTATGGATGTCGTACATTAAAATCCCAGAGAAGTATGTGCGATTCAGTATCTCATGTTTGCAAAATGATCTCGTACTGCAGGATATAAAAACAGAACAAAGCTGGTTTCTGGTGCCAAATGATGTTTTTCTCCGGCCTCTGGGGAGCTGTAAACCTGCAGAATTAATCTGGGTTTTCATTTTAGTAAATGCTATGAGAATTGCTCTTCCAGGGAAAGCCAACAAATTCCTTCAGTGATTCCAGGAAACATCACCCTTCAGAAGCTGGGGCTGACGAGCCCTGCGGCCCCTTTATCTTGAAGCACCTCCCACCCCAGCTCAGGCTCCAGATGAAGAACAAGCTGAAGCTGAGAACAGCGGCTCTGCACGCTGCCAGCTCCTCACCACCACCTGGGGAGATGTTTGGAACCAGGACGAGCACCCTTCAAGATAGATGGATGGGGATTCAGCTAGCTGGGGCCCAGAACTCTGGATTTCTTTTAAGTTTCCTAGATGAGAAGGTAAAGAACCACAGTCCTGCTCAGCTGTGGGCACTGGAGACCTCGGGTTCCATTCCCATCCTGTCCTGGCCAGCCCTATCCAAACCTAGCGTTGTACACAAAGGACCCTCCACCCGTAGCAACATCTGGAACAAGTCTTGGTGCCCTGAGCGTAGGGTACACCGGTGTTGGGCCCTCCCTTCCCACCTCGCTCTCTTGCTCTGGGTTCTGGACTTTTTCTTCCTGGTTTGTATTTCTGTGCCTCAGCCTCTCGGGCTGAGGGTGAAGCTCTGTGTGCTCCCTGGACCACCAGCCAGTGCCTGCTGCTCGGCCTGCACACTGCCCCTGAGCTACTGGCTGGCATCTTACCCCGGCCGGTTCCCCTCAATCCCACCTCTCCCTGCCTCTGCTTGGAAAGGTAACCAGTGGCCATCAGAGTCCCCAAATCGGCATTTCCTGTCCTGTTGATCAGTTGGCAGCATATGACGTTGCTGCCCTCCCTCCATCTTGTAGGACCTCTTCCTCACCTCAGGACACCACTCACTCTTCCTCCTCCTCCCCAGAGTTCCTTCTTGTCTCCTTTTACCCCAACTGATAAATGGTGACGCACCCCAGGGCTCAGTCCCTAGATCTTCTGTGTATCCACTCTCTCTCCCTGGATGGCTGAGTTCCTGTGGCCCATGGATCTGCACACCACCCTACGCTGCTCACTAGCCAACTTTCTCACAATCCTGCTCCTCCCAGGGCTTCCCCACCCTGGGGGAGAGTGACACCTTTCCTGCACACACCACCAGAGTCCAGCCCAAGCCGCCATCTTTTCTCATCTGCTTTCACCTTGACTTCCTGAATCTCTTCTCCACACAGCCACCTGTTTACCCTCCCTGAGCCCCTGGCCTTGGCACTGGATATTAAACCCAGAGGCAGTTTTTCACCATAGTCCATCCCTAGCCTCTTTTTTTATTATTATTATTTGAGACAGGGTCTCACTAGGTTGCTGAGGCCAGCTAAAAACTTGCCATTCTCTTGCCTCAACCTCCAGAGTCACTGGGATTACAGGACTGTACCACCATCAGCTGGGCTGTTTGATCATTTAAAAACTTAAATGTAAGTTTACAGAGTGGCAGAGGGGAAAAAAAGACAAATGTAAGTTGAAATAGGCCATTCCCCCTTTTAAAAGTCTCCTAAGCCTTCCTGGCTACTGAGCTGACCCTCAGAGACCAGCGAGGTCCCTCCACCTGGCCACCAACGCTCTGCCTTCCCTCTCTGTCTTGTCCCCCAACACATCCTGCTCTTCTCCCTCAGCACCAGCCTCGCTGACCCTCGGGCTCGAACATCCTGGATAAGTCCCCACTCTCTGTTTTCACACCTCTGTCCCCTGCCTGGAAATGCCTGCGCTAGATAACCCACCGCACAGTCCCTCCCCCACTCCCCAGGGGCCTGCTCTGGATGGAGGCCCCTCCCTGACCACCTCCATCCCACCCGTCAACAGGCCTCTCTCTCAGCGAGGCCCTGAAATAGCTCTCAGATACCTCGGGCCTTTCACTGCTGCGTCTCCAGGACAAGCCATCTGTCTCCTGTCCAGCCTCCTAAAAGGACTCGGTGCCCTGCTGATCCTTCCCTGAGCCACAGCCAGGGCTGTCTCTACACAGCACAAACCTGAGCGTGCTGTTCTTCTGCTAAAAGTGCTCCATGGCTTCCCAGAGGCCTTTGAACAAAGTCCCCAACCCTTCATCCAGCTCCTGGGGCCTCCTGGGCCCAGCACCACCTCTCTCTCTGACCTCATCTTCTGCCACCGCCCTCCCTACAGGTGTCCCTGACCAGACGTCCTGCACCACCCTATGCCCTGCTCTCTCTTGCTTCAGGCTTTGCAAGAGCAATGGCCACTCCCTGATAGACACCCCCCTGGACTTCACCTGCGACAATTTCAGTTTAGACCTCACCCACCAGATTAAAAGTCCCTACATCAGGGAGGCCATCCCTGCCTCCCACCCTGGCTGGGGTCAGCTCTCCTATTAAAAGCCCGTTGTGCCCCATGCATTCACCTCAAGACCCTCATCCTATTTGAAATTACTTGATCGTCTGTCCTCTGACTAGCTGCTTTTATCACATTCCCAAAACTGGCCTCTGGGTCTGCATATATGCTGTAGAAGCTCAATAAACATTCAATGAATGAATGAAAGAACTGGCAAATGAATAAAGAAGCTGAATATCTTCTCTGGGGTTTTCATCTCAAACTCAGGGAAGTCCACACAGGCACTAGTTGAAGGCCCCAGACCCTCTGCTAAGGGTCATTCTGCCCTTCCCTCCATGACCCTTTCCTTCCCTGAGCTGAGCGTGGCGGGTCTGGCTGGTATGATGTGGTTCGGCCTTCCGGGGTCCAGCCCAAAGGGCCCTATTTGCCTGGAATTGGAAGTAAGAGTCTATAAACTCGTTCTGTGTCCTCCAAAAATCCTCCTGTCAGAGACTTGCTAATGCCTTGACTGGCTTTGCTTTTCTTCTTGGTGCAATAGTTGATAAACGGCCAGCGCCTGGGGCCTCTCGAAGCTTGTCCAAGTCTCCCTAGGGGACAGAAGAACTATGTAAGTTGCCTCCTGGGATTCATAAAGGAAGATGGCATCAGGGCCAAACACTTTGGAAAACACGTCAYAGGCCAGCAGTGTGTGACCAACCCAGTGCCTTTGTGGCCGCTGGGTCCACACACCTGGACCAACCCAAAATCCGAGTTGAGTTGTAAAACAATGTCAGCCTGTGAGGGGCCCCTCTCCATCTGCCAAGGATAGTCTGTCTGGAACCAAGGAGAAAGATGGTCTTGGCAGGAGGCTCCCTTGGCCTGGCAGGCTGGATAGAGTCACAGTCCATAGCCAAGGTCAAAATATATTTAGCCAGTGGCAGTTAAATGGAAACATTCTAACTTTAAAAAAAATGTCAAAGGACCTGGCTAATTATCTCAACAGGCGGGAAATGAYGCTCAGCAAGAAAACACCAACAGAAATACCAACGGCTCCTTCCACCCTGAAACAGGAGCACAGGAACCAGGGAGAAAGGAGCAGTGGAGGGCAGGGAGCAGGCAGCGAGGGGCAGCGAGAGTGACCAGAGGAGGCTGCGAGCCTCAGCACTGGGCAATGCCACCCGGTCCCAACTCCCAGTGGGCACTTGAAAAGAAGGCCTGGCTCTCCTGAGCCACCGTCAGGACCACGGGCCAGGACCTGGCCAGCAGATGCTGCGTGGGATGGTTCCCTGGCAGAATGGCCTGTCCCAGGCAGGACAGAACCTCTGCTTTCAGACCCCTCCTGCTTCTCTGCCCACAGCAGGGGAGGCTCCAAGGGTACCTCCCTGGCACCCAGCCTGGAGCCTCCAGTCCCCCTCTAGGTGGCTACCTCCTCGTGATCCTCCTCACCCTCTGCTGCAGCCACACCCTCTGGTGACAATACAAAGTCCCAAGTATCCACCTCCTACACTCAAAGCCCAAAGCAGATAGAATTCTCCTTCACCATCTCTAACTAAAATCCATAACACCCCAGAGGGCAAACTGTGCCCAGTTTTGCATGAATGCTTCACCCCCTTCCCCGGATGCCTGGTCCCTCCTTCAGACTCCACACACTATGCATGCCATGTCTCTGTACCTTTGCACGTGCTATTCCCTCTGCTGGATGCCTTTCCCTGCCCTGCCTAATGAACTCCCACTGGACCTTCGCCTCTTCTGCAGTGCCTCCTCTTCCCGGCTCTAGCCCCTTTCACTCTCTAGCACCATGTGTGCAGGGGTGCTGGGGAAGGGCCCTGCTTTCTGAAATGTCAGCTCTCGCGCAATCTTACAGGAATTCCAGGCCGCTGTTCAAAGGCTACGTCATTCTCTTCATGTGGGTAATTTGGTCTTTGTTTTCCCTGAAGATRATCATGAGTGTCTTTTCCTCTTCGTTTCACTTGTTTGATTCAATTAAAATGCCAGGGCCCGTGACCCTGAAAACCCCGGTGACTCCCCACCACACAACAAGTCAGTGGTCCAGAAAATGGTGTTCTGAAGACACAGACAGGGATTCAAGAGTCTGAAGGGAGCTAGGAAGAGGCAGACTGGCAGGCTCATCTCAGAATAGATGAGACCAGACCGACTCTGGTCTGAAGTCCTGGTGTCAACCCAGATCTGAATCTGAATGGCTGTGWGGTCTTGGGAAAATGAATCAACCTCTCTGTTACTGTTTCCTCATTTTTCTCTCTAGAGTAATATCAACCCTCTCAGAGAGCTTTTATGAGGATTAATTGAGTTGACATATAAGTGCTGTCCATGAATTAGCCATTGTGACTACTAGTTGTGTGGCCTAGGAAAGATCTCTTTGCCCCTCTAAGCCTCAGTGTGCTCGTTGGTAAAATGGAGGTGATGATATCCCTGTGCCGTGGGTTAAAAGCCCCTCCTCAAAAAAAGCTATGATTGTATTTGGGAAAAGGACTTTGAATATATAATTACTAAAGGATCTGAAGATGAAATCGCCCTGGGCATCTGGGTGGACCCTAAGTCCAACAGTGAGTGTCCCTTAGAGAAAGGCAGAGGACGATTTGAGGCCCAGGAGATGATGGGCGAGGACTGGGGCAGGGGGGGGTGTCACAGATACAAGCCCAGGAATGCCAGAGCCAGGAGATGATGGAAGAGGCACAGAATGCTCCCCCGGTGGCCCCTGGAGGTAGCGTGGCCCTGTCCTCCTTGTTTTCCCACCTCTGGCCTCCAGGACCGCAAGCAAAAGTACGACGGTGTCTTGAGCCATGTTCGGGGTCATCTGTCCCAGCAGCCACGAGGTGCCACGAGGAGCTGACACACGCCCTCCGAGGACCGCGCAGGCACGGGCGAGGTCCCAGGTGTGCACAGCCAGCAATGATCTTCGTCGTTCCCATCCCTGCCCTGGGCCTTGGTCTCCCCCATAAAACAAAGATACAAGGTCGGGCAAAGGTGGCTGGGCTTTGCCGCCTGGCACGGGCTCCGTCACCGCCCGACTCCTTCACAAGGCAGGAGGACTACCTGATTCTCCATCYCCYTCACCCTCCTCCTCACTCCAGGGTGCCCAAAAGGCAGGGTGTCGCCTTCACGGGCCTTCACCTAGCTGTGACCACTGCAGAGGACAGCGGGCTCTGGATGGTCACCCTCTGGCTCTTCCCACATGAAGGAAGGCTGCAAGCGACTCTGTCACTCTCTCCAGGACATGGTGGCCCAGGTGACATTTTAGGAGTTGTGATATCTTCCTCCTCCCACTCAGGGCTCAATGGGGAGGAAACACTTAAGAAAACCATATAAATATTTAAGCCAGAAATTATAACTGAGTGGTGAGAGTGTCRGGTATACAAGTGAAGTGTGTCACGTGTCAGCAGAAAGGCAGGGACAGGGACAGCACTCTGCGTGGCTGCAGGGCGTGGGATCCAGCCACCTCTCAGCGTCCTCCCCCTCCTACTCTCTCCCCTGCCACCAGGATCWGAGGGACAGTCAGGGTGGGGGATAAACCCATCTGTCACCTAAAGTCCCCTTCCTTGTTTAAACCCTTTCATCAGTTTCCTACCTCAAGAATTCTGGCTCTGCCTCTAGGCTCTTGAATTCCTTTATGTGTGAAAGAATAAACAGTCTCCATTGGATTAGATAAGAAGAAAATGGAGGCGGCTCGTCCCTCGGCAGGCRCTCAGGCCCAGAGGAGTGCTCTCGCACATTTGCCTGTGGACAAACAACGCTTAGCTATTAGCTACAGACACATAGAAACAGAGACTTCAGAGATCTCCAATGCCCGGCCACCACGCCTCATCCGTTGGGGACACGGTGACCTGCTCTCCGTGCCTAGGACGGGAGATTTTTGTTCCATGAGGGCTGAGCCCTGCGGATGTGGCCAAGGCCCTTTGTTTCTCAATAAAAGTTTTCAAGGAAATACTTTTGCCCTCAAAATCGCCCTCTTCTTTTTGTCTGGAATGATTTATTTTATTATTCAGTGGCTGAAAATTCATGAAATGCTGTGGTCAGAGCAAAAATGTGTCACACACGATTCCATATGTCCATGGAGCGGGACCAAGAGAGAAATCTGACAATAGAAACCACCCTCTCTCTCCCTGGGGTTCATGGACCACGGGCCTATTTTTTTTTAACTTATAATATTTTTATCCCCTTAATCAAAAACATTTTTTAAAAGTAATTAGCAATAGGGTGTATGAATAAAAATAATGGTCAAAACGCTGTAATTTCTTAGATTTCGTTTCAAGACTCAAATTCTCAAATGCATAGACAGCGTTTCTGACTCAGGAGGTAGAGAGGCCTGTTCCCGTCCAGAGAGGCATCCTGGAGCATGGGAACAGCAGTGGGCTTCAGAAGACCCATCTGAGAAGCTGCATTTGAGGGGCAGCCCTCCCTGGACTAAGCACGAGACCCTGGACAGGTGACGAAGCCATGGGATCCTTGTGGCCATGCCCACATGCCCAGCACTCCTGAGACAAATGTGAAAGCAGCTGACAGCCAGGAGGAACGGTCCCCTACRTTCCTCCCTCCAGCTCCCGGCATCAAGGCCCACTCAGCCAGTGGAGGCAAGAACGAAGGACTCTGTAGAGAAAGCCACAAAACACACTCATGGAACCAGCTATAGGATCCCAGGCCCCTCACACCCACTTCCAGCCCCTTGACTCTCCAAGGGGAAACGACCATCCTCACTTCCAACACCTTGGATTGGTTGCGCCTGATTTTGAAAGGCATACAAATGGAATCCGAAAGTCGGAATTCTTCACACTGGCCCCTCTTGCTCAACATGAAGCTGTGCAGCTCCCCAGGTGGCCATGTGCACATCCTGCCACCAGGATCATCTTGTTTAAACCCCTTGTTTAAACCTGCTCATTCTCGTGGTTTAGAATACTGGGCCACAAGGATAGCACAACTCCTGCTTCTGATGGATGCTTGGCGAGTTCTTGGGCCATTTCYCATGTGGAGTTATTGCAGACGTTCTCGTGCAGAACTTTGGGTGAACGTATGAACACAGCTCTGTTCAGTACATAACTGGGAATGAACAGGCTGGGTCCTAGGGCTTCACATATTCAGCTTAAGGGACACCGTCAATTTGTTTCCCAAACWCGCCGTCCCCATCTCTTCCCCTGCCAGCAGTGTCTGGGATCTCCAGGGGCTCCACAGCCTCACCCCCAGTGGGGATTTTCTGCTTTTTTAATCATGGACATTCTGGTGGGTGGAATGTGGGATCACRTTGCACAGTGATATTTTTAGATGTAAATCGGATTCTGTTTCTCTGTCATCAGTTTCCCTTTGCACTGACAATAAACCCCGACTCCTTCCCCCATCTGCAGACCTMTGGTCACCTCTGACTTTCTACTTCCTGTGCCCCACTGCCTTCTTGCTAGAGTTCAAAAGCAATCCCCGCCTCTTTCCTCTGCCCAGAATGTTCTTCCTCCATTTTTCCCCATGACTAACTCCTTCCCGATCATTCKTACATTCAACAAACATTACTAAGGAATTATCAGTTTTCTTCTCACATGTCACCTCCCTCCAAAGACCCTTCCCCAACTTCTGTCTAGTTAGCCATGGTAAGTCTATCATCACTTTCCATTTCTTCTATTAAGATTTGTTTTCTACCTTATCTCTGCCTTAAGACCAGAGACAATGTATTTTCAGTGCCTAAAACAGTTCACACAGTTAAGTATTCAAACACTATGGTTTGGATGAATGGAGAATAGAGGCAAAGGAGTTCGAAAATCACATTTGCAAAGATGATTATAGAATATTAAAGCCAAAGGGGAGTAAACAAGGACAGGGTAGGGACRAAGAGCTTGAGAAGAAGATTTACATTAAACAGGGTTGAGAGGTGGGAGGAAAAGGGAGAGAGAAGGGAAATTGCATGGAAATGGAAGGCGATCCTCAGGGTTATACAAAATGACATATAAGAGGAAAGGAGGGGTAAGACAAGATAATACAAATGGAAGAAATGATTTACAGTGGAAGGGGTAGAGAGAGAGAAGGGGAGGGGAGGGGAGGGGAGGGGGAATAGTGGAGAATAGGACAGACAGCAGAATACATCAGACACTAGAAAGGCAATATGTCAATCAATGGAAGGGTAACTGATGTGATACAGCAATCTGTATATGGGGTAAAAGTGGGAGTTCATAACTCACCTGAATCAAACCGTGTAATATGATGTATTAAGAACTATGTAATGTTATGAACGACCAATTAAAAAAAATTGGAAAAAAAAAGAATATTAAAGCCAGTAGAACCTCTTCTGCCCCCACCCCAGCTCAGCTGATCAAAATGATGGTCAGAAGGATAAAGTGACAGGGTCAAGGGCAAAGATGGAGTTTGAACCCATGCTTATGATTTCTAGTCCCATCATACCATATTCCTTCAAGAACAGGAGACAAAGTCTTACTCCATTAAATGGGTTTCAGATTATGGAATGTGGGTATTAGGAACTGATTTGGCCTGGAGAAGTCTCCCCTCATACTACAAAGTCCAACAACACAACAAGAAGATATCAGATGGACATCATTTCTGGGTCCCCCAAATCACCCTGACCTTAGTTCCATGGAAGAGGATGACRTTGAGAGGGCAAATATGAATAGAGGTGGCTCCCAGTCCATCTTCCATCTTCTGGGGAGAGGAAAAAGAACCATCTTGGCAGGGGCAACTTTCTTGGGCTCCGAGATCTACCAAGAGATCACGCTGTACCAGGTGAGAGCCCGGCCTCACATTCTTCCCTTGAGTGAGAATCAGATCAGACCACAATGTGGGCCTCGGGCCCGTTGCAAAATTGGACCTGTAATCTGTACCTTAGAGAACTTCAGCCAAAAGCCCTCTGCTCTTGCTGAGTCATCCCCAAACCCCGTGACTGGATGATTCACTGATCTCCACCGGGGTCATGACTATCAGGTGCTGACCCAGAAATGAAAACTAAATTTATAAGGGAAGATATCCTCTAACTGAAGCTCCAGCTTTTCTGATGGTTCAAGCTTCCACTCTTTGGGTTTCCAAAGAGTAGTGGAAGCCATGTTGATCTCTTCCTCAACAATCTAAAAACAATGGAACAAGACAACCAGAAACCCACTGAAAAAAAGAGGGAGTCGATGTTTGGGAGGAAACCGACCTGAAATGATACATATCCACAATCCTCATCACAATTCTGAGAGCTAGGAAACCCTAGAAACCAAGATTGGGGCTTGTTTCTTTTGCATATTTGTAGCAAATGTACTTGGCAGCAAAGCCTGACAACAAAAATTGATATAAGACTATTTTTAGTCTTTTATGTCACTTTGGTTGCACACTCATACATTTTGGTGTAGCCATGCTATCCTTTGATTAATGAGATTCTGAATCAAAGTCCAATATGATGTTTCACGACATATAGCCCCTGTACATCTCATTACCTTTATAAAGGTTAAAACATTCTTG